GGTAGAGCGCTAGCCTTGAGCTGAAGAGCTGAGGGACAGCGCCCAGGCTCAGAGTTCAGGCCCCACGACCGGACCAAAATAAAAAAGAAGAAGTCACCACACAGACACACAATCATACCAAATACCCCACAAACTGTCCCAACAGACTTTCAGCATCACCACAAACCAGTCATCATGTAACCTAGAGTTCAACTCTTACATGCTGTCACTCACATCCCCATTTATTCAAATGCATGCTGAACTTCCACTTCAGATTCACAAGGCATAGCCCCATCTTCTGTCCATTCTGTTGCATTACCTCCTTTCTGTGCCACCTAAAGTTTGTTTCTTCCTGGCCTGCAACACTCTCATATACAAAAATACTATTAATACTAATACCTACCTCAGCTTATTGCTGGTGGCACATTCCTGTAATCCTAACTACTTAGGAAGTAACACCTCCACTTCTTAATTTTTGCTGCTTAATTGGATTGTTCTGCCTGGAAGACTTCAAACCGAATTTCATATCTCAGCCTTGGGGTGAGGCCAAATGAGAGCATGAGGTTCTGAGTTCACAGGTGTGGAGGTATAGCTCAGGTGGTAGAAATGCCAGCATTTGAGGAAAAGCATCAGACCCTGAGTTCAAGTCCTAGTTCCGGGTGGGTGGGTGAGAAATGAAATGCTAAGGGACAGGGCCCAGGTCCTAAGTTCTAGCCCCAGTACCAGCACATACACGCATGCACACACCCACAATAATAATAATAATAAAGACTGGGAATGTGGCTTAGTGGTAGAGTACTTGCCTAGCATGCTTGAAGCCCTGGGTTCAATTCCTCAGCACCACTTAAACAAAAAACTAGAAGTAGAACTGTGGCTCAGGTGACAGAGTGCTAACCTTGAGCAAAAGAAGCTCAGAGACAGTGCCCAAGCCTTGAGTTCAAGCCCCATGACTGGCAAAATAATAATAATAATAACTTATATGAGGTTTTGGTATATATTAAAAAATTAATATATGGAGACTGTGGAACATATATACTTTATATTTGTTGGATGAAGAATCAATAAACAAAGGAGAAATTCTTGTCAGGACTATGCCAAGGATCATTTTAGGTCCAGCATCTGCACATCCAGGGCAGAGGTGTCTGATAACATTGTATGCCTGTCTAAAACCTGTGCACTAGTACTCTCAGGGAAAACTCCAAGCTCCAGGATAGTGGTTTGCTTATCTACTGAATGATAACAAATGAGAGAGTAGACTGTCAAACTCTTTTTCAATCAGGAAATCCAGCATTGCCAGGACCATGGCTCAAACCTGTAATCCTACTTGGGAGATAAAGATTGGAGGCATCTTGGTTTGAGGCCAACCTGGGCAAAAATTTGAAGACCCAATCTGGACTAATGGCTAGATGCAGTGATGTGTACTTGCCATCCTAGTGACACAAAGAAGCACAAATGGGAATATCAAAGTCCAAGCCAGGCTAGCATAAGCCAGACCTTTTTTTGGGGGGGGGGGTCCGGTCGTGGGGCCTGAACTCTGAGCCTGGGCGCTGTCCCTCAGCTCTTCAGCTCAAGGCTAGCGCTCTACCACTTGAGCCACAGTGCCACCTCCGGATTTTTTCTTTTTTGCTCACGTGATGCTGAGGAATCGAACCCAGGGCCTCAGGCATGCAAGGCAAGCACTCTACCACTGAGCCATCTTCCCAGCCCCCATAAGCCAGACCTTATCTGGAAAACAATGCAAAAAAGAGGAACTTGTGGAATCCCTCAAGTGGCAGAGTGCCTGCTTAGCAAGGGTGAGGCCCCAAGTTCAAACCCCAGAACCACAAAAAAGGGGGAAAAAACATCAAAAATCTAGGACCATGGGGCTGTGCTTAGTGGTAGAGTACTTGCCTAGCATGCATGAAGCCCTGGGTTTGATTCCTCAGTACCACATAAACAGAAAAAGGCATTAAGTGCTGCTGTGGCTCAAGTGATAGAGTACTAAACCTTGAGCAAAAAAAGCTCAGGGACAGTGCCCAAGCCCTGAGTTCAAGCCCCAGGACAGAAAGAGAGAGAGAGAGAGAGAGAGAGCGCTAGGCATGGTGGCAAATGTCTATAATCCTAGCATTCAGAAGATGGCATGTTAGAGGCCAGTTTGGATTACAAAAAGAGGGAGGGAGAGAAAGAAAAAGAACTTATGTTGTCATACATGATTGAGCCTGGCCAATCCTACTTACTTTTGCACTCTGGCCCAGTGGCAGAGACCAATCAGGGGCCCAAGTCAGCACATGGACCCTAACTGACCAATTGTGTCTCCGGGTAAGGAGGGGAAATAATAAAACGTAAAAGGGGAACTTCATTGGATGCCTGTACGAAAGCAACATGAAAAGAAACGAAACTAGGTCCTCCAGAGAGCCTTAAAACAGCATTTTTGGGTAAATTACTTAATGGAGTATAACAAGCATACAGGAAAGGTAAAAATGATACAAGTATCGTTCCAGGAATTTTCACAAGGTGCAAATTATTTTTAATAAGACTGGAAAAACTATTTTCTTTGTGTTTTGCAAATTCCTGAAGCAAGGGTCACAGCTAACTGAAACAGATGACATCATCTGTCAGCAGAGGGGTGAGGAAACTTGGTGCGGAGCTGTCACTCACAGCTTCCTTTCCCCGCCTACTTCTCTCTGGAACCAGTTGTCAGTTTACCACGCCCTTAGATGAATCCGGAAGTAGACTGCCAAAACAACCAAGCTGCAGGACCGGTACCTGACTTTAGGGGTGGGACTCTGAGCAAGAGCATATTAGGCGCATGCGCGGATGCTACTTCCAGCCGGGGTCAGATGGGAGGGGCGGTGGGAGGGGGGGGGAAGAGTCTCATGGTACGTTCTGCGCCTGCGCTCCGGCCCCAGCTCAAGGTGGGGCCACGGGTGCCCTCACTGTAGGTTACGTGTGTAAAGGTTGGGGGGGGGCAAAGGGGTCAAACGTCACCCTGAGGCAGGTGGAGGCGGGATGGCAACGGCCTCCGGGTCCTCAGATTTTGCCAGCCCCGGAGTGCCCCCGCCCGGTGGGAGACTTCAGACTGAGGAGGAAGAACGAGAGGTGGTCCGAGTACGAGTGAAGGTGAGACTAGCAACCCTTCCGCCCACCCGCCCTGGTGTCCCCAAGGATTGGACCATGATGGCTATTATAGGATCGAGGGAGGGACCTGAGTCTTGGGGCATAACCAGAGGGGCGAGTCTTGAGAGCATATTAATGGAGAGGGGGCTGAAGGCTTGGGTCTTAGGGTATGTCAGGGTGTGGGACTGAAAATGGAGGGACGGACAGGAATGGGTGGATGGAGCTTATGTAGAGAGGTGGGCTGAGAGTTGGGGTTGCAGTAGTTGAGGGGTAGAGCGTTTAGGAATGAAGAGGTGTCCTAGCTGCCTGAAAGGGGAGTCCTACAGTCAATAATATATAGGTGTTGAGAGTACACTTTTTTGTGAGTCCCCACCATTCAGCCCATGTTCTGGTTGGGCGGGGGAGACAACTGTGGTGCTTTGGATCCTTGATGCTATAGCAAAATAATGGCAAAGATTCTGAACTTGGAAGTTCATATATAGAAAAATCCTCAGAGAAGTTATTGAAGGGCCACAGACACGAATTAAAAGGGGTCATCTATGTGCATTTCAGATGGAGAAGAGAGTTTTAGGTAGAAGGAACAGCCTTGGTAAAGGCTGGGAGGTGGGAATGCACTTGACACACTTCTGTAGGTTTCCATATTGCTGGAAGAGCAAAGAGTAAGAAGAGCAGAGTGGTAACAGGCAAGAAAGGGGTCTTCTCATTTCTCCCTAGGCATGGCCTTTAGTGTGAACTCAAAGGGGAAAAAGAACTTCTAGTAGCTCCAGCAAACAGTGCCCAGAGGTCAGACTAGGAAAGTGGTCTTGGCAGTGTCAAGAGGTATCTTCAAGCTAGGTATTGGGAAGGTTGAGATCTGAGGACCCCAGTTCGAAGCCAGGCTAGGCTGAAAAGTCCATGAGACTCAGATCTCAGTTAACCAGCGGGGGAAAAAAAAAAGCTGGAAGTGGAGGTGTGCTCATATGGTAGAGTGCCAGCCTTGAGTGAAAAAGATAAGTGATAGCGACCAGACCTTGAGTTCCAGCTGCAGTATAGGAACCAAAAAATGATAAATATATAGAGAAAGAAAGACAGATACAGAGACAGATCAAGATCAAGCAGGAAGCTCACACCTTAATCCTAGATACTCAGGAGGCTGAGACTGAGGATTGAAGTTAAGAGAAAGCCTGGGAAGACAAATCCCCAAGACTCTTAGCTTCAGTTTTAACTAGCAGAAAGCCAGAACTGGAGGTGTAGTTTTAAATGCTAGAACACTAGCCTTGAGTGAAAGGGGAGAATGCCAAGTAAGAGCAAGAGGCCATGAATTCATGGGCTGGGAAGGTGGCTCAGTGGTAGAGTGCTTGCCTTGCATGCATGAGGCCCTGGGTTCGATTCCTCAACACCACATAAGCAGAAAAAGCCGGAAGTGGCACTGTGGCTCAAGTGGTAGAGTGCTAGCCTTGAGCTGAAGAGCTGAGGGACAGCACCCAGGCCCAGAGTTCTGGCCCCACAACTGACAAAAGAAAAAAAAAAGGCCATGAATTCAAGTCCCATTACCAGCATGCATGTGTACGTGCATACACACACAAACACACACACAGGACAAAGAAAAAATGGCATTTCAAATCACTCAGTTTTAGAAAATTTGTCTCTTTTTTTGGGGGGGGGGTCCGGTCGTGGGGCCTGAACTCTGGGCCTGGGCGCTGTCCCTCAGCTCTTCAGCTCAAGGCTAGCACTCTACCACTTGAACCACAAGCACCACTTCTGGCTTTTTTCTTTTTGCTTATGTGGTGCTGAGGAATCGAACCCAGGGCCTCAGGCATGGAAGGCAAGCGCTCTACCACTGAGCCACCTTCCCAGCCCACTGAGACTTCTTCTTACTCATCAAAAACCCAAGTTCTCACAGTGGCCCAGAATACTCATCTCATTCTGGCCCCTGCCCACCTCTCTGACCTTGCCTCCTTCTGCTCTGTACCTCACTCATTCTTCAATATAGTGATTTGGCCTTGAATGGACTACCGTATCTTCTCTCCCCAGAAATGTGAAAACTTCTTGCCACCTGAATATCGATCTTTTGCCTTAGACCCACAGATCACCTCACTGGATGTATTACAGCACATTCTTATGCGAGCTTTTGACTTGAACGGGTGAGTAGATAGTGACCAAGGCCTAGCCAGTAAATTCAACAGCAGTTGTCTGATTTTTGTGTGTATTTATTTTGTTTGATAGGGTTTTAGTTTGTTTATCTTGGTATTACATAAATATCTCAGTATTTGGGAAGTTATTATAAGAGAAATTCTAAGCAATTGTATCACTGGGCTAAAGGGCATGTGCTTTTAAACTTTGAATGGACCTTTTCAAAATGGTCCCAGACAGGTTTTACCAATGTACAGCCTTATTACCAGCAATATATGAAATGCTTGTTTCACCAGGTGGCAGTGGCTCATGCCTGTAATTCTAGGTAACAGGAGGCTGAAAGGGAAAGATCATGGTTTGACGCCAACCTGGGTAGAAAAATCCCTGAGACTCTTTTTTATATTTAGCCAACCAAAAGCTGGGCTGGAGGTATTGGCTCAAGTGGTAAAGCACCAGCAGAAAAGGCTGAGCAAAAAAGCCAAGTGAGATTCTGGGAATGTGACTTAGTGGTAGAGTGCTTGCTTTTTAAACTTAAACTCAAGACCCTGAGTTTAAGACCTATTACTGGCACACAAACACATACAAAAACAATAAAATACTTGTTTTACCAGGTATGATAGCTCAAACTGTAATCCCTGCACTCAGGTGGCTGAGGCAGGAGGATTGAAAGTTCAAAGCTAGTCTGGGATACATAGTGAGACCCTATCTCACAAACTATAATTACAAAACTTGTTTCTTACCCTCAGAAACAGGGGTTACTAAAAGATATAGAGGGGCTTGGAATGTGGCTTAGTTGCAGAATGCTTGCCTAGCATGCATGAAGCCCTGAGTTTGATTACTCAGTACCACATAAACAGAAAAATCCAGAAGTGTCACTGTGGCTCAAGTGGTAGAGTGCTAGCCTTGAACAAAAGAGGCTCAAGGACAGTGCCCAAGCCCTGAATTCAAGCCCCAGGACTGGCAAAAAATAAAATAAAAATAAATTATATGGAAAAATTTACCAACCTGATAGTCAAAAGTTGGTGTCTCACTGGGTGCACTGGTGGCCCACGGCTGAAATCCTAACTACTCACAAGAATGTGATTTGAGGATCTAGTTTGAAGTCAGCCTGGGTAGTTAAACTTGAGAGACTCTTACTTCAATCAATGAAAAGACAGAAGTTGGGGTGTGACTCAAGTAGTGAGCATCAGCCTTGAGTGAAAAAGCCAAGCAGGAGTACAAGTCTTTTGAGTTCAAGCCCCAGTACCAACACACAAAAAAGTTGGTGTCTCCTGGGAAGCCAGTGTGATGGTTATTTTGTTATGGTGTTGGTTTTGGAGGACTATATATGGCCATGTGGTAACAAATGGAAAGAGCATAGAATTGATGATTAGTGGGAGTTAAGATGTTTCCAAAGTCACACTGATTATTATGGCATAGTTTCACAAGTACATCTGAAGAATGGATAGTTAATTGGTTTTTAACTTTTGTTCATAAACATATTTTGTTGTAAAAAATAACAAATTTACAAGACTACTTTATTTTCCATGTAGTAAAAAGGCTTTCCACTTGCATCACTCAACTACATTGTTATATTCCCCAGAGAGGACCAACATTTTACCAGTTTTCTGTGTGCCCTCCAGATACAAGCAGGTTTGTATCTGTTTCTGTGTTTGTGTAACAAAATAGCTATAAATGACCTCAGGCTACCCACAATCCTTAGCCTAGTACCCAACAGGAAGTAGAAAGTAATTTCAAACACCTTCCACATTCTCCCTCTTCTGTTGGAAACTGTTCCTGAGGCTTCCAGGGAACTGGAACCCCTGAGAGCTCCTTCATATTCTCTGTCCAGGAAGAAGAACTTTGGCATCAGCTACCTAGTTCGAGATCGCCTAGGACAGGAAGCTTACTCCTCCTTACTGTCTGATTGGGACCTGAGTACAGCTTTCTCCACTGCCTCCAAACCTCACCTGCAGTTACGTGTAGACATTCGACCCTCAGAGGACAGTGAGTACCTAGTGCCCAAGGGCACTGTTCTGGGGCCCACCCTTTCCCCATAGGAAAACTCCTCCCCTCACAGTCTAGGCCCTTATTGGGCCACAAAGCAAGGTATCCTAGGCTAGAAGATCCTAGCTCAGTCACTTATAGTTTCTTTCAAAGTGCTTCTCAGTTTCTTTATCTGTAAGTACAGGTAAAGTAAATGAGAAATCCACATAAATTGCCTGCAACAGGACATGCCACAAAGAGAATACTCAAAAAGCGTTAGCTCTGATTATAATGATATTGTATTATGCTAGCATGGAACCTAGTAATGTATGCCCTACTTGTTTTTTTTTGTATGCCCTACTTGTATAAAGCAATAAACAAGTATATAGCTTCAATGTTATAGGTTCACTTATAATGATATCTAAACATAGCCAGGCACTGATGGCTTATCCCATACTCTTAGCTGCTCAGGAGGCTGAGATTTGAGGATCAAATAGTCAGAAATGGAGGTATGGCTCAAATGGTAAATAAAGCACCAGACTTGAGTGAAAAAGCTAATCATGAACATAAGGCTCTGAGTTCAAACCTCAGTACCTGCATGCTCTCACATAGCTGTGCTTATTATAATGATGGTGTTTATATGGTGCTCATTCATTCATCCTGAATACATATTTATTTGTTATCACTCTTATTCATTTCCTTGCTCTCTCAGCTACTTTGTGTGTGTGTGTGTGTGTGTGTGTGTATGTGTGCGCACGTGTGTGCCAATACCAGAACTTGAACTCAGGGCTTTACTTTTTTTTGCCAGTCCTGGGGCTTGAATTCAGGAACTGGACACTGTCCCTGAGCTTCTTTTGCTCAAGGCTAGCACTCTACTTGAGTCACAGGGACACTTCTGGCTTTCTCTATGTATGTGATACTGAGAAATCAAACCCAGGGCTTCATGCATGCTAGGTGAGCACTCTACCACTAAGCTACATTCCTAGCCCCAGGGCCTTACTTTCTGGCTTGGTTTTCTTGTTTATGGCTGGAGCTCTACCACTTAAGCTACACCTCCAATCCAACATTTTGTATATTAACTGGAGGTAGAATCTCTTGAACTCTTCTGCCCAGACTGGATTTGAACTGAGAATCTTCCAGGTCAGTCTCTGAGTAACTAGGATCGTAAGTATGAGCCACTAGCATCTGTCTTCTCAACTATTTCTTTCTTTCTTTTTTTTTGGGGGGGGTCCAGTTGTGGGGCCTGAACTCTGGGCCTGGGCACTGTCTCTCAGCTCTTCAGCTCAAGGCTAGTGCTCTACCACTTGAGCCACAGTGCCACTTCCGGCTTTTTTCTTTTTGCTTATGTGGTGCTGAGGAATCGAACCCAGGGCCTCATGCATGCAAGGCAAGCGGTCTACCACTGAGCCACCTTCCCAGCCCCCAGCTATTTCTTTTTTATGCCAGTTATGGGGCTTAAACTCAGGGTCTTGAGCTTTTGTGCTCAAGGCTAGTGCTCTACTACTTGAGCTATAGGTTCACTTCTGGCTTTTGGGGTAGTTAACTGGAGATAAAAATCTCACGCACTTTCCTGCCTGGGCTGGCTTAAACTGCGATCCTCAGATCTCAGCCTCCTGAGTAGCTAGGATTTCAGGCATGAGCCACCAATCCCTGCCTCAACTACTTCTAATATTTTTTCCTTCATGTCTGCCCATGCTGGTCACTGTGAGTACACAAGCAAATCCACACATAGTTCCAAAAATTTGATTGTGGACCATTAGATAATACTTCTTTAGAGACAGAGTCTCACTATCTAACCCAGGCTAACCTCAAAACCATTTATTGTCCTGCCTCAGTGCAAACTGTAATAGCTGGCTTAGACATTACTATTCTTTCATTGTTAAATTTCCAGGATCTGTGTCTTCAGCTGTTTGTGTAGCTATAACAATATGCCAAGTGTAATGGCATATGCCTGTAATCTCAGGATACAGGAGGCTGAAGCAGGATCCTTGCAATCGTAAGGCCAGTTTGGGCCTACCTAGTGAGTGTAAGGCCAACTTGGGCTGCATAGTCAGACCCTGTCACCCCCCCCAAAAAAAAAGGAAAAGAAAGATACCACAGCCTTAGTTATTTATAAAGAACAGAAATTTAGGGGCTGGGAAGGTGGCTCAGTGGTAGAGCACTTGCCTTGCATGCCTGAGGCCCTGGGTTCGATTCCTCCGCACCTCGTAAGCAAAAAGAAAAAAGCCGGAAGTGGCGCTGTGGCTCAAGTGGTAGAGCAGTAGCCTTGAGCTGAAGAGCTGAGGGACAGTGCCCAGGCCCAGAGTTCAGGCCCCACAACCGGACCCAAAAAAAAAAAAAGAACAGAAATTTAAGGCCAGGTACTGGGAAGGTGGCTCAGTGGTAGAGTGCTTGCCTTGCATGCATGAGGCCCTGGGTGCAATTCCTCAGCACCACATAAGCAGATAAAGCCAAAAGTGGCACTGTGGCTCAACTGGTAGAGCGCTAGTCTTGAGCTGAAGAGCTGAGGGACAATGCCCAGGCCCAGAGTTCAGGCCCCACAACCGGACCCAAAAAAAAAAAAAGAACAGAAATTTAAGGCCAGGTACTGGGAAGGTGGCTCAGTGGTAGAGTGCTTGCCTTGCATGCATGAGGCCCTGGGTGCAATTCCTCAGCACCACATAAGCAGATAAAGCCAAAAGTGGCACTGTGGCTCAACTGGTAGAGCGCTAGTCTTGAGCTGAAGAGCTGAGGGACAATGCCCAGGCCCAGAGTTCAGGCCCCATGACCAAAAAGAAAATAGAAGAAAGAAAGAAATTTAAAGCCAGATGCTTAGCACCAGTGACTCATATCTATAATCCTAGCTATTTTTTTTGGGGGGGGGTCCAGTCGTGGGCCTGAACTCTGGGCCTGGGCACTGTCCCTCAGCTCTTCAGCTCAAGGTTAGCACTCTACCACTTGAGCCACAGTGCCACTTCCGGCTTTTTTTTCTTTTTGCTTATGTGGTGCTGAGGAATTGAACCCAGGGCCTCAGGCATACAAGGCAAGCGCTCTACCACTGAACCACCTTCCCAGCTCTAATCCTAGCTATTCAAGAGATCAGTCAAGGATCATCTGAAGATGATCCTTCGAAGCCAGCTAAGATAGGAAAGTCTCTGAGACTCTTCTCTTGAATTAACCACCAAAAAGCTGGAAGTGAAACTATGGCTCAAATGGTAGAGCACTAACCTCGAGCACAAAAGCTCAAGAACAGTTCCTAGGCCCTGAGTTCAAGCCCCAGGTCTGGAAAAAAAAAACAATAAAAACTGGGTGCTAGTAGTTCACATCTATAATCCTAGCTACTCAGGAGGCTAAGATCTGAGAATCTCTGTTCAGAGCAGGCTGGGTAGACAAATCTCCAAGACTCTTTATCTCTGAATAACCAGAAAAAGTTGGAAGGAGACGTATGACTCAAGTATTAAAGTGCAAGCTGGGAGAGAAAAAGCGGTGAGGAGACTCTGAGTTCTAGCCCCAATACCAAATAAGCAAAAACCACAGAAATCGATCTCTCACACATCTGGAAGCCAGGAAGTCCAAGATCAGGGTGCTACCAGGTTGTATCTCTAGTAGAAAACATAGGTGTGAAGAAATAAAGTGTCAGGATATATGCAAATAGTTTAGCAGACATCAAATATTAACATGTAGAGGGTGATGAAGCAAAAGTAGCAGAACTGGTTATCAGGATCTAGATGAGGGATATATGAGTGGCCAATCTATTCTCTCTTTTTTTTTTTTCACTGTGGCAGAGATGGAACCCAGGGCCTTGTACCTGAAAGGCAAACAATCTACCATTGAGTTCAACATTACCCCTTTTTCCTTTTATTTATTTTAAGGCAAAATCTTTTTTTTTGTCAGTCATGGGGCTTAAACACTGGGCCTGGGCACTGTCTCTGAGCTCTTTAGCTCAAGGCAAGCGTTCTACCATTTGAGCCACAGTGCCACTTCTGGTTTTCTGAGTGGTTTATTGGAGATAAGAGTCTTATGGACTTTCCGGCCTGGGCTGGATTTGAACTATGATCCTCAGATCTCAGCCTCCTGAGTAGCTAGGATTACAGGCATGAGACACCAGTGCTCGGCCTCAAGTTTTATTTTTTAATAAAAAAATAATTTTTGTGCCAGTAATGAACTCAGGGTCTGAGAGCTATCCCTGTACTTCTGGGGAAAGGGGAGGTCTTAGGGGTTGAAATCAGGGCGTGGGTGCTATCCCTGAGCTTTTTTGCTCAAGGCTAACATTCTACCACTTTGAGCTATACCTCTACTTCCAGTTTTCTGGTGGTTAATTGGAGATGAGTCTCACAGATTTTTCTGCCTGGGCTGCCTTCGAACTGCATCCTCAGATCTTACTTAGCCTCCTGAGTAGCTAGGATTACAGGTGTGAGCCAACAGCACCGACCTTTGTCCCTGAGCTTTTTAGCTCAAGACTAGAGCTCTACCACATGAGCCACAGCAACACTTCTACTTGACCAAACACCAACGAACAAAAAATTAGTCTTAAGGAGGACCATTTGGGATAACTTAGACATTTATATATATATATATATACACACACACACACACACAATTATATATATACAATTATATATATATAATTGTAAAGATACTGTACAGAGGGTTTACAATTACACGAGTAAGGTGATGAGTACATTTCCTATCGAGCATTGTTACCCCCTCCTTTGTTTTTCCCTACCATCTCTTCCCTCCCCACCTCCCCAACTCCTCCCTCCCTCCCCCCAAGTTGTAAAGTTCATAACTCAGTCATTTTATTGACATATAATAACAAATAGCTAACATGGGTTGAACACTTGGCCCATTCTATGGACATTTTTTTTTTGTCTGTCATGGGGCCTGAACTCTGGGCCTGGGCACTGTCCCTCAGCTCTTCAGCTAAAGGCTAGCGCTCTGCCACTTGAGCCACTACAGCACTTCCGGTTTTCTGAATGGTTTATTGGAACTAAGAGTTTCACGGACTTTCCTGCTCAGGCTGGCTTTGAACCATGATCCTCAGATCTCAGCCTCCTGAGTAGGGATTACAGGCCTGAGCCACTGTGCCCAGCTATGGACATATTTTTTTAGTGAATTAGCAAAATAATTTACAGGGCAAGGATGATCATGTATGCTATGTAATAGATGAGGAAAGTGAAGTGAGGTGATAGGATGTGTCCAAGTCACAGACAGTAAATGAAAAAAACTGGATTTTAGTTCAGACTGTAGAAGAACAGACTCCAGTCCTTATTTGTAACTACTTGTGTCATTTAATGATGTGCGTGTGCATGTGTGTGCACGTGTGCATGCATGCATGTGTGTATGTGCACATGTGCACACATGCCAGTTCTGGGACTTGAACTCTTGCTTAACATTTTTCACTCGTGACTGGCACTGTACCCCTAAGTCACAGCTCAGCTTCCGGCTTTTTGCTATTTAATTGAAAATATGAGCCTCACAGACTTTTTCTGCTCAGGCTGGCTTTTTACCTCAATCCTTAGATCTTGGTCTCCTGAGTAGATAGGATTACAGGTCTGAGCCACTTAACACAACTGGCAGTTTTTTGGGTTTTTTTTTTTTTTTTTGGGTCAGTCGTTGGGCTTGAACTCTGGGCCTGAGCGCTGTCCCTCAGCTCAAGGCTAGTGCTCTACCACTTGAGCTACAGTGCCACTTCCGATTTTCTGGTGGTTTACTGCAGATAAGAGTTTCACAGACTTTCCTGCCTGGGCTTGCTTTGAACCGTGATCCTCAGATCTCAGCCTCTTTTTTGGGGGAGGGTCTTGTCGTGGGGCCTGAACTCTGGGCCTGGGCACTGTCCCTCAGTTCTTCAGCTCAAGGCTAGCGCTCTACCACTGAGCCACCTTACCACCCCTCAGCTTCTTGAGTAGCTAGAATTACAGGTGTGAGCCACCAGCGCCCGGCCACCATATTATTTTTGTGGTCAGGTTTTTGGGATTTATGTGTGTGCCACTACTGGGGTTTGAACTCAGGGCCTGACCCTTAGCTTTTTTGTCCAAGGCTAGTATTTTACCACTTGATCCATAGCTCCACTTTGGGTTTTTTGGTGGTTACTGGGCTATAAAAGTCTCATGGGCTTCCCTCCATGGACTGGCTTTGAACCTTAATCCTCATATCTCAGCCTGCTAGCTAGGATTAAAGGTGTGAGCCACTAGCACCCAGCTGTGGTTATTTTTAATGAGGCAAGTCTCTCTTTTCTCCCATTGTTCTTTTTTTTTTTTAGCTATTCTTTTTTGTCAGTTGTGGGGCTTGAACTCAGGACCTGAATATTCAAGGTTAGCACTCTGCCACTTGAGCCACAGCACCACTTACAGTTTTTGAGTGGATAATTGGAGATAAGAGTCTCACAGGGACTGTTCTGACAATCCTCAGATCTCAGTCTCTCAGCCTTCTGAGTAGTTAGGATTACAGGTGTGAGCCATGGTACCCAGCTTCTTAGCTATTTTTTTTGTCAGTCCTGGGCCTTGAACTCAGGGCCTGGGCACTGTCCCTGAGCTTCTTTTGCTCAAGGCTAGTACTCTACACTTGAACCACAGCACCACTTCCAGCTTTTTCTGTTTATGTGGTACTGAGGAATCAAACTCAGGGCTTCATGCATGCTAGGCAAGCACTCTACCAGTAAGCCACATTCCCAGCCCCTCTTAGCTATTCTTAACCACAATTTCTTCATGTAAACCTTTAAATAGTTTCATCAAATTCTGGGAAAAATCCCCATTAGATTTCTGGCTAGCTTTATACTAGATTTATATATTATATAGTTTAACATGCTTGACGACTTCATGATAAGGAAAGGCAGTGCATGCCATGCATATTATGTAATACAAGCAGAGTGTGGGCCAGCAGCACATAATGAAGCATTTGGCTGTTTCTTCAGGAAATGTGTGTGTATTCATACCAAGCAGGTTATGTAAAAACTATATATAAACTCTTATCAATCCAGGTCAGATTTTGCCACTAGATGAGGAAATTCTCAGCCTATTTTATGAAGGTGTTTTATGGGCATATAATGTCTCCCTCTATTAAATGATTTTGGGCTTCTGTGGTGCTTTTTCTGACATTCATATTGTTGTGTTTGTTCACCTGGTATACTTTTAGGTTTCATAAATTTTCAGCCTTTCTTGGCTACGCAGTTTTACGAAGAACCTCAGAGCTGGATTTATGCTTTAAAAAAAAAGTTGGCAGTGAAATCTTTTATTATTTGGGTTGTATTTTTTTGAGACAGAGTCTTCCTATGAGCCCCAACTGACCTAGAACTTACGATTCTTATGCCTCTGCTTCCTTAGTGCCAAGATTACAGGTGTACATTACAATATCTGGTTTGAGAGTAGAATCATTATTTTGTTTTGTTTTGTGTGGTGTTGAGGCTTGAACTCAATATCCCATATTTTCCCATGGCTTTTTCTGTTCAGGGATAGTGCTCTACTTCTCTTTTTTTGTTGTTGATCGTGGGGCTTGAACTCTGGGCTTGGGCGCTTTCTTTGCGCTCTTCAGCTCAAGGCGAGCGCTCTACGGCTTGAGCTACAGCGCCACTTCCGGTTTTCTAGTGGTTTATTGGAGATGAGTCTCACGGACTTTCCTGCCTGGGCTGGCTTTGAACCCTGATCCTCAGATCTCAGCCTCCTGAGTAGCTAGGATTACAGGCATGAGCCACCGGTACCCAGCAGTGCTCTACTTCTTAAGCCATGTCTCTACTTCCAACTTCTGTTGTTTAATTGGAGATAAGATCCTCAGAGAGGGGCTGGGAAGGTGGCTCAGTGGTAGAGCACTTGCCTTGCATGCCTGAGGCCCTGGGTTCGATTCCTCAGCACCACCTAAGCAAAAAGAAAAAAGCCGGAAGTGGCGCTGTGGTTCAAGTGGTAGAGTGCTAGCCTTGAGCTGAAGAGCTGAGGGACAGCACCCAGGCCCAGAGTTCAGGCCCCACGACTGGACCCCAAAAAAAAAAAAAAAAAGATCTTCAGAGACTCTTCCTGGGTTGGCTTCGAATCTCCATCCTCAGATCTCAACATTCTAAGTAAATAGATTACAGCTGTGAGCTACCAGTACCCAGCTGGCAGAGGACTCTAGGCTTTTCCTCCTGTCTTTCTCCCTGGCCCTTGAAATGGAATTTTGGAACATTTCTATTTTTTGTGTGTATGATTTTTTTGTCAGTTGTGGGGCTTGAACTCTGGGCCTGGGCACTGTCTCTGAATGCTTCAGCTCAAGGCAAGCGTTCTACCACTTGAGCCACAACACCACTTCCAGTTTTCTGGTAGTTAATTGGAGATAAGAGTCTCACAGCCTTTCTTGCCTGGGCTGGATTTGAACCATGATCCTCAGATCTCAGCCGCCTGAGTAGCTAGGATTACAGGCGTAAGCCACCGGTGCCTGGCTTCTGTATGATTTTTTTTTTGTCATTCATGGGGCTTGAACTCTGGGCTGGGTGCTGTCCCTCAGCTCTTCAGCTCAAGACTTGCACTCTACCACTTGAGCCACAGCTCCACTTTTGACTTGCTTGGTGCTTAATTGAAGATAATAGTCTCACAGACTTTCCTGCCTGGCTTCACTTCTAATCACAGTCCTCAGATCTCAGCCTCCTGAGCAGCTAGGATTACAAGCATGAGCCAATAGCACCCAGCTCTCAATATTTTAATGTTGTGACTTTAGTAGTGCCTATCTGAAAGGATTGATATGAATATTAAATGAGTTTGTATTTGAAAAAGGCTCAGAACAGTATCTTGCACTTAGTATTATAGAAGTGTTAACTAGCATTATCCTTCCTTTTTTGAAAAAAAAATTGTACTGAGGAGCAAATAAAGCACCTCATACGTGCTAGACAAATACCCTACCACTGACATACATGCCTATTGTCCTTTTTAAAATTCATTTTAGCCCGGTACTGGTGGCTTATACCTGTTATCATAGTTACTCCAGAATCTGAGATCTGAGGGTCCAGGTTCAAAGCTTTCTTGTCCAGGAAAGTCTATGAGATTCTTATCTCTAATAAACCATCAAAAAGCCTGAAGTAGAGCTGTGGCTCAAGTGACAGAACACTAGACTTGAGCAAAAAAGTCCTGAGACAGGGCTGGGAATGTGGCTTAGTAGTAGATGCTTGCCTAGCATGCATGAAATCCTGGGTTTGATTCCTCAGTACCACATAAACAGAAAAGGCTGGAAGTGGCACTGTGTCTCAAGTGGTAGAATACTAGCCTTTACAGAGACGCTCAGGACAGTGCCTAGGCCCTGAGTTCAAGAAAAAAAAAAAAAGTTCAGAGACAGTGTGTAGGTCCTTAGTTCAAACTCCAGGACCAGCACAAATTTAAACACACACACACACACACACACAGAGTCACACACACACA